GCACATGGTATACTTCATCAACCAAAAGGGTGGTTTACGGATTCATCTATTCAACGACGTGATAATGTAAGAGCAACAAGGACGCCGACTAGATCAGAAAGAATACAGCTGCTAGCGTCGTACTCTAGGCCGATAGTATAAACATTCCTTACTAACACTGAATTAACAACGCTTAATCTCGCTAATAAATTGTATCTGATAGCGCAACCGATGAATCAGGACAACATAGAAAAATATCGGGAATGACTGTGAGACCACGAGTAAGCACATACTCTTGTGGAAGCGCCCCAAAGTCCAATCTGCCTGGCGTGCATTGATGTAGTAGACAGCATCTGTACAAACAACAGTGCACCGATCAATATGGCGAATTGACAACTGATCTACGATGAGAGCATAGATAAAATATGCCCACAGCTGTCTAAGTAAACATATAGGTAGCGTACTGATATAAACCTGGGTTTTATTGTTGTAGGTTCAAGATTATAGATACAACCATAACAGCTCTACTTTGCCGGCTATTAAGAAAAACTGGACAAAGGAGGCAGAATATTCTTCAATTTGATGGATATATTTTAGAGCCGCTGAACCGACCCAGCAGGTCTAAATAAGTAATATGGGGTTTAAAACTGGAACAATGCACAGACCAATCGAGCCACATAAATACCAACTTTCGTGTATTCGCAGAAATCACCAAGGTTCTCGCAGTACCAACAAAGTATGTATTGCGTCAGTCTCCAAGTCACTTTACATAGGTTAGAGTGATCACGCACTGATGCGGATTATCTTTACATACGAACCTGTATGTATTGCGCAAACTATTTGCGAAGGTCGTCATTTTCCTATATAAATTTATATGTATAATATGTCTGAGGAACAATTACCGAAGCGTACATGATACAATCAGATTAAAAACATCGTTATCATATGAGCGTAGTATATGACGAGGAAATGACTAACAGGCAGAACCATTTTTAAATGAACGAAAGAAGTATACGTACATGATTAATACTGCTATAAAACCTACAAGTGAAGTCACGAACAAAACTGTTGTAGGTATAAGATTATGCATGTATACGCTGAACTTCAGTACGCAAAAATGTACGAGCGTGTATCAAAAGTGTAGTAAGATATACAATTATCTACATAAATAGATATTTATTTCGGGGACCCCTCCAGGAGGGATCGTATACTATAGCTGTGACAGAAGGAGGTACGTAAACAGGGAAATGATCATTACTCATGAATCTGTTTGAATCTGTGCATACTGTATGAGCACTGTAGATATACACGCTTCAAATGCAAATACAGAGGATAAACATCGAGTTCGCTTGTTTCCGCGTACCTGTTCCGTCTTGAGCTCTCAAAGTCCACATCTCAGCAGTGGCAGCTACGCAGTAGTCTATCTATAATATTTATACGTATGGCCGATTTATATAATTCAAAATGCAGTTGTATCTCTGAGAGTGTCTTCCCTTAAGTCACGCTCTAAAGTACCATCTGATTTGCTATGTATGTACACAGAGGAATCTCTGGTTGCAACTCTGATTCTATGCGTATTTATACCAAAGCATTGACCCACCCCGTCTCTGCAGTACACCTGCGCTTCAGTATAGAGGAAGCATCGACCACTGTCATGCGTTATCATGTGAATCGAATAGTATAGGGATGCGGCGGAGTACAGCTAACTATCTAAGTGTCGCCAGTCCATATGTTGGACTCTCGTGTATATATATATATATATTTAAATTTTAAATGAAGTCAACCTGCCGTCACTTGCCTCATCAGTGCATTAAACTCAACAAAAAGGAGAGGCTACAGTTGCGCGCCAAAATTCTATCTCTCTATATTGTGAAAATATAAATGGTGCACACTTAAAATACAGATTGGCATACACCTCATGCACACAAATAAACGCATTTCTTCATATTGTAAATACACGCGGCTATTGATCGACTATCAATGGTCGACTATCAATCAAAGATCAATCAAAAGGATGTCATCAGTTCATAGATATTTCGAAGTATGTTCGTGGTACAATGTGTTTTATTGTGTAGTATCTCCAGTATACTATGGGTGTACTGGATTATCATTGTTGTCTACTTGTCAGCATAAATAAAAAAGGCACAAAAGAACGGTTCCATTCTTTAAATGAAATTGTTCTATTTTAATATTAAAATAGTATGCACGACGATGTGGTGATATTTAGGATACACATTGTGTGCATGTACTAGTGAGCTAGTTGATATGTACTCAAATATGTATCTTGTTATTTAAGAACAACTCTTGATTTCGATGTACTCCCCACTTACAAGTGTATATATATATATATATACATACACACACACACACACACACACACATATATATATATTTATCTATATATATATATATATTAGGATATATATTATGTGATATATATACATATACATACATATATATATATATATATACTATGTGATATATATACATATAATACATAAAATACATAAAATACATATAT